TTAATTCATCCGCATTAATTCACTGAATTATACGATTTTATAGCTATATTGTGATGGAATAGTGAAATAATATATTAAAAATAATCATAATAGAGTGTAAAAAAAATTATGATTTAGAATAAATGGTAACAAATTAATAAAAACATAAAATATACGGTAAATCATAGAAACTGAAATTGTTTCTAATAAAGTGCAAATATTAAATTAGATTTGTTAATCGAGTTTTTTTTTCTTTTCCAAGTTTATATTTTCTTGTTATTTTTTTCTGTTCTCTTGTTTTCTCAAGCTATCTCTTCCTAATAGTCTCCCCCCCCCCTCCCCTCCCAGTCACACACAAGTCAAGAAATCTTCTTCATATGCTTATTTTAAACACTTTCAACCATTGCTTGCAAGTTGAATTGTACATGTTTTTGCTATCTAACATACATTATACATAAAACTGTTCAATCCAATCTAAAACACAACATCAACTTAGTAAACAAATATATGTCTCACATACTAAATACTAAATCCACTCACGCCAGCACTCAAACTCACCCATCAATGTTTGATCATAACTAGTACAAAGTTATATTAGGTTTTTTTTACATCTGTTACATAGTTAATGAACTCTTTGTTTTTATTTTATTTAATAGCTTGTTCTTTCAAGAATATATCCTAATTTATCATTTAACATGGTTATAATTGTTTCATATGCTAAAAGCATTGAAACATGGTCAGAATTGGATTTATGTGTATGATGCACATTTAGTTTTGCACTTATGATTGCAACAATGGTTAAAATCTCATGATTCTTTTATTCTCTACGACACTTTCTATCTTTGGAATTACATAAACGGACACTTCTAGCTGGAGCAACACTTTCTTCTTGTCTAAAGTCTTTCTTGTCCTCAAACTAACTACACCATATCTTAACTATATATAGTTACTCTTAACTAAAGTGTCACTTTCGTCATTATTAAGCAAATAATTGATAAATCTACTTTCTTTTTTGAGGTTTTGAAAACAAGTTATATTCTCTCTCACATTCTACATTTTGAAAGTAAAATTTATTTTATAATAATATTTCTTTTTACTATGTTTTTACTAAAATCTATATCCTCCACATATTTTTGTCAACGAAAAGATCGTTTCTTCTCCTCTTTCCCTTAATTTTCATTATTGTTTTCGTCTCTGTTTTTTTTATGTAAAAGCTATTTTCCTTCTCTATTTTCGTTCTCCATCCCTTCCTTTCTTTACTCCTTTTTCTTTTATATCTGTGATTCTTTTTTTTTGTTTAAATCACCACCCCCAACTTCTCGAACCGCTATCACCATCACGACCATTGCAACTCCTTTGCACTGCAACGGCGCCACCGCTGCAGCTCCTTCACCGCTGTTGCCACTCACTCCACCTATGTTTTATCAGAATTTTCCTATCACGTCCTGACAGAAGCTTTCGGCAATATCTCTTATTGGAGTTTACCGATTCATACGAAACTTTTAGTTAATTAAATCATTTTTTTGTTTATTGTGTACAAAGAAAATGTGGATACAAATATTGTTGATTTAGGAGATGTGGATAAAAGGATTATGTTCAATATCAAATTGAGATAGATTTAATATATTATTAATTATTTTAAAATAGAATTTGTGGGTCTTATATTTTGTGGACACCGAAAATGTAGATACAAAATTTATTCGTCTTATATTTTATGGGCACCAAAAATATAGATACAGATTTGTGAAACAATTTTGATTGTTCAAAATTGTGTTCATTTAATATGAAACAAAAGTTAAATAGAAGGAACTTATTTTAACAAATAATATCTATTATAATTTTTCCACAAAATTAAATTCATGTATACTATCTATCATAATTTGTATATAAGAGTTTTTTTTTTTCAGCCATCCATATCCACATGTTTAATATTCATGTATTTTCTGTACATAAACACATTTTTCTATCCACATTTTTCATGTCCATAAACTTTTATATAATCTTGTTATATATATATATATATGAAAGTGGATCTTAAAATATAGAGAAAAAAATTACAATCTATTGTAACACTTAATTTGTTTTATATATTTTAAATTCTATAAAACACCAACCTTAGTAATTCTTCTCATGAAACATAATTGGTCCACACAAAAGAGATAATATTTTTAAATGAAAAAAGCTAACAAGCCTCTTGCCTTCATTAACCAAGAGAGGGGGGTGATTGTGTAAAAATCATGGGGTGAGAGAGAAGAAAGAGTCCCTCAAGCTGGAAGTGCCTTAGCATATCAAAAAAAAAAAAAACAAAAGTGTTTTATAACGTAACACACTCAAATCTCTTCCCTGCAACCATTATTATCAGAGTAAACTAGCATTTCTGATAGCATTAGATCCACATCTAATTCTAACATTCTAAAACTTGTTTTAGTTAATATTCGTGGTTGTTTGTGTTTAAAAAAAAGGGTTAAATCTCCGTGGTTATATATTTCTCTTAGTGCATACAAGATAATTTCGCAATTTGATTAACTGTGAAAAGTATATGCAACACCTTAAAAATGTTGAAAAATTATTGTTGAAGATATGTCAATTAAATTGAGAGAAATTTCACCCGTGAAAAACATAATACATGCATAGATTTACATTCATCTTGCCTTACATCTGACTGGTTTGGCTCGTTTTTTCTTTTGTTGGAAACGTTTTTTAATAGGGTTTGTGAGATAACCTGTTTAACTCTATAACAAACTTATCATTGTTCTCTTAATTAACTTTATATCAAACATTTTTACCGATAACGCATTTTTAACATTCATAACTATATAAACAACGAGCCGGTGAAATAATACAAACTAGGATAAGACTTGTGCATTACGCAGGATGAATGTATGTAATTAAAATATAAAATTTTAGTATTGACAAATTTAAAATTTACATAAGATTGTTTTTATATTTATTTGAAATTTTGGAGTTTATATATAATTATCTATACGTAGGATCAGAAACAATTGTAATTAGAACTGTAGATCAAAACTTAGAATTTAATGGGTCTCGTTCATATATCTTTTCACTTTTCAGTGTTCGAATAATGGAAAATAAACGGAGTGTCACAAGATTTAATTGGTAAAGCATTATCAAGTTCCTTAATGCTTTCTTAAAAAACACTTGGTAGAATATTTTCATTTAGAATATATAAAATTTTAAAACTAATTTAATATAAATTATTTATTTTTTTAATAATATCAGAAAATTATATTTTTAAAAACCTTTTTAAATAAAAAATAATTTTACAAAAATTTAAGTTAAATTTTAAATTATAATTATGTTTAAAATAATATTATTTATTCATAGAATATATATATTAACATAAAAACCTATTAAATACAATTATTTATTCATATGATTTTATAATCATTGTAACTTATTATAAAAAAAAATTAGGCCTTGATAACAAAGGCTTATGTGAGATTTTTAACAGTTTTAGTAATTTATACTCGTTTTGCGAATTTCAAAATACAATATATATATAAAAAAATCTAAATTTTTCTTATATAATTAGCGTAGTTGAGTAATTTATTTTAATAATAAAAATTTAAACAAAAATGATATAAAGTATACATATTCTTAACAAATCTTTATTATTTAAAACCATTAATATTCATATATATCTTAATCACATTAGGTAATTTCGTAGGTTTTATTTAAGGAAAGAATATATAAGATATTTAGTTTGATATGTTATTTAGTTTGATATGTCTTATATGAGACCAACGGACCATGTTTTAAAACTATGTTTTATATGAAGTGTTCTAGAATTCTTCTAAATTGAAATAGATGGCAAAGAGAGGTGCCACGTAGGATGAATTTATTTTTTAGTTAGTAAAAATTTAAGATTATAATTTTTAAAATATTTTTCAATTAATATATAGAGAATCTTAAGAGTTTAGTAAGCTTGATTTTCGTTGTCATGTTGCCTCCATGCCGAAGAAGCTTTCCAATTTTAGATCTGTTGGCTTGAAAATAGCTCACTACTAATCAATAACCTCCAATAATGCTTCTCTTGACCTTGCATGTTCTTATTTTCCTTTGTATGAGGTTCAACCGAGGTGATATTGGTAGTGATTAGTTTTGATTAAATCTTAGTTTCAGTCATGTTTTCACCTAAATTCCCATTTGTGGGCTTTGGTTTCCGGGGATCATGTGTAATCCGCCGGCTATGTTTTCCCGGGATGTCCATCATCGCTGGGCTTATGTACTGAAGTTGGTTTAATATATAATCTTTGAGTGAAAAAAAAAAAATGCTTCTCTTGACCTTATAATTAACCACATTTTCAACTAATGTATTCAATTGTCATCAATACATTGATTTTGAAAGAAAAAAGATGACACAACATAACATACTCATAAAATGAAATGGTTTAAAACTAATTGTGACATAGATATTTATATTTAATGTTGATTTATATTTTTTGATAATCTTTTATAATGTGATAGTAACTATAAATAATCATTAATATAACAATAAATAATAAAAGTAAAAATATATAAGGAATAATAATTTATTTTTTGAAATAATATTTAATTTTATATTTTTATAATTATATGATTTTTATTACTAAAATAATTCTTCATAGTTTTATGCAGTTTTTTAGAAAAAAAAATATAATTTCTAATCCCAATATTATTAATTTACGTAATGTCGAAGATATTTCTTTTAGTATGTACAAATTTTAAAAATATTTATGTACTCTTACATTTTTATAATTATATACCTAACAAAATTTACTCTTGAATTTAAATAATTTGATTAAATATATTTTAACCAAAAGATACACATAAAAATCTTCTTAAAACTATAAATTTAAATATACACATACATATTATTAGATAAATATTTCTTTTATCTTACTTTTTGCATATAATTACATTAAAAATTAAAACTAAATTCTGAACACGTAATAAAATCTACAAATTAACAGAAACAATATAATCTAAATTTTAAGATTTTATTTTCAGCACATTGTGCAGAAAAACACCTAGTATATGTATTAATTGTAAAAAAAAAAAAAAAAAAGGTACAAGAACGTTATCGATCGGTTTATTAAAGACCAAGACAGCCCAAACCGAAGACACTTATTTGGTTAACACAAGATGACCGGTACAACTTTACAATCTGGTTCACCTCTCAAAAGTTGTAAGAGTTCATACGATGCCACACACCACACACAGATCTACTAAGTCATAAAGAAACAAATAGCAGACACATGTTGGGACTTAGACCTGACAAGAAAAATTAAGACGTGAGACTGTGGCCGGTTCAATGTTTCTTCTCAGTCTCTGTGTTCTCCGGGAAATGGTATGGAAGCACAGCAACGGTAATAACCACTCTGGTCAAACACAAAACGCTGAGAGAGATGAGCTTCTTGGATCAGATACTCTCCCCAGTCTTCGTTTCCGAACTGCTTGTGTATCTCTCTTGCATCAAACGTATCCATCTTCTTTCTTTTGTCCTTTCTGAGACCACACAATTGTTTCAGATAATCAGACGTATAACTGTTTCTGAAACATAATATCTGACGTTGGGATTGAGAATCACCTTTTCCTGTGCCTTGCGTTCATCACGGTTGCGTGCAGCTGCTCAGAAAGAGAGAGATGTTAGCCAAAGAAAATAGAGTGACTGCAACAATCTCACCATAGGTATATACAAACTCAGAAAGCTCTTACCTTCAAGCTTTGATTTGCATCTTTTTCAAGAACAAGTCCAGCTTTCACAAATGCATCAGTTATAACTTCTGAACTTGCAGTTAAGAAAAAAATCAAAAGCACTTACGCTAAACTCTAAAATTACGGTCTAAATCATTTATCACTTAGGATTATAGGATACTACAAGCACGTAAAAGCCTGCCTTCATCACCAATTTCTTCAACAGGAATGTACAGCACACGAGCCTTAGCTAATGATCCTCTCATACAATCCTTAACAAGATATCAAAACAGCAGATGAGTGAACCAACCATTAGGTAAATGAATTGTAAAGCAAATCCAAAGAACGTATCATCTCACCAGTCCTTTAAGTCTAATGAATAATGGCCGGTTATCCAAAGCATCCATCACACTAGGATATATACTCTGTTTTTACAAGTAAACAAAACACTAAATGTCATGAAGCAGTTTCTAAAACGAATGAATACAATCCCTTACCTTCAGAACATCACGGGCCGTATTGAGTCGATCTTTGTTCCATAACTTCAGCATAAGCACAGTCAAGTGAAATGTATTCGGCTTAATGAATATGGACTTTTCAATTCCCAAGTCTGCCAATTGTACACAATGTACCGAGCATCTCAGAGGAACAAGCTTTTAGATTCCACAGATTTAGTTCATTTAACTTACCAAACAAAGTAGACGACGTAGCTTCTTTTGCCTTAGGTGGGTAACTGACAACTTGTATGCTCCTGTTCTCCACATTGACTTGTCTTGTCTCACTATTAGCTTTTAGATTGACCGCCACACTTGTGGTTTCATCCACTGGCTGGACGTCTTGTAGTATAGACTTCTGAAAATTGACTAGCTTTGCCACTAACTCAGGATGTATGGCTAATGGAAGTGATACAAAGTGTGAGTAGTCAAGACTCGGACTCCTTACAACCTAATAATGTGAATTCCAATGAGCACAATCTAAAAGAAAAGTACAATATTGAAGACCAAAGGGAACCTCATCGATAATGGTAGCTATTCTTTCTGAAGCTTTGGTCAAACAGTCCACTGAACCACCTTCAATGACTGCATAGAAGAAAAGGAATTACAACAATGATCTTACTAATGTGACACATCAGGTTGTGAATTACAGTTGGATTCAAAGATCTTACTGATGTGATCTTCGTTTCTTGATGATGGAAAAATGATCTTCACTCCCATCTCCTCTTCAATTTTCATCTGTGTAGTCCCTCTTTTTGTCAAAAATCCCAAAAACATTAGCACTAAAGTAAACCTCATAAGTATATATGATCAACAAAAATAGAGCTCTTACTCTTTCCCTTTGATGAACCTCATCAAAGAAGCCCCAACCTGGAACCAACCACACAAAGTCAGACAAAATTAGTTAAAACAAGAGGTTGTATCAAGTAAAAGAGAGACCTCAAGAGAAACCGAATGCTTTCCAGCTGATGCTGTCTCAATAACACCACTTGATTTACTACACTGACCGTCTTGGACATTACTTCCAGCTTCTGTTTCAACATTAGAAGCCATGTAAGATACAAAACTATCAAATGCTTAAAGCAAAGATGCTATGTATAACCTGAATCAACATTTGAAGAGGACTGAGTGGAGATAGGTCTCCACACTAAATTCACCATCTTTTGCTTCTTGCTTCCATCCATTACAGCGTTTCCTCTAAAGCTCATGATACTGAAATGTTCCTGCGATGAGAAACAATCTAAAAAAAATCACTACTAGAGATTAATTACACCCTTCAAAGCAAGTCCCAAGGAGATGATAATTGAGTGTTGAACATCAAAAAGTAGCTTACTTGTTTCGATTTAAGACATCTATTCGTAAACCCAAGTACACGATCAATCCTAAGAACAAAGATTCCAAAAGAAACGATGTGAAACCTAAAACAGAGCTAATAAAGGTTCGATTTTTATTGTACACGATGAAGAGGATAGAAAAAAAAAAAAAAAAAAAAAAAAAAAAAAAAAA